AACGTTAACTACATATTTCTGTATAGTTATTTAATAGCTGGCATTGCCATAGAGATTAGGATACCGTCATCATTTGAGGTGTCAAGACTAACGTAGTTACAGCTTGTGTATATTAGTTAACACTAGATACCTGGTTTGTTGCCAGAAAGGAACAAAAAAAAAAAGAAACGCTGAAACGTCTTCCTTTTTTTGCATTATGTTCTGACGTATGAAGCTATGCTGAGAAACATGTTTTTTAAAAATAAGTGGATAAATACATAACTGGAACTCTAAACGTTTTACAGGAGTTAGATTAGAAGATAAATATTGAAGTGTGCCTGATTTCTGGTGTGTGCATTCTAGGTTTCACCGTGTTACATGCTTAAAAGTGCATCATCTTGTTGGTTTACTCGTTTAATTAACCTTTGTCGAGTTTTCTTGTAATCTTGCTTGCAGTGCAAATTACTTGGATGACATCTAGAAAACTGCTTTCTTTATGCTTATTTTGTACTGCTTAGGGGTGTTGATTATGAAGGATTCTTTCATCGAATTTCTATCTCTCTCCACCGCTTATGATTCGATTCTCTGTCAAATTATCCCTTGACCATTCATATGTTGTTCAGTAAAAGCGTGTTTGGTCCTCCAATCTGTACCTCAAAATAAGTATGGCATTTACAGCATGCATTCTTCTCGGGAGCTGACCAGGAGATTATCATTATATTCCAAGATGAATTCCTTGCGGGAATAATAAGGGCTTTGTAATACAGAAAGGTCACAGCAATGGTAAAGCAAAGCAACGCTTCAATTTCTTTTATAAGTACTTCCTTACGTACGCTTCCTTATTCAGTAAATACGCGCACCATAAATTTTGACTCCCCAACAACATTAAACAAAATAAATCAGTCGTATTAACCCTACCATGAACTCCCGTGAGTGACGAGAATGAATTTCTCTTGACAATATCAATATAATATCAAGTAAACCGGTGATGAGGATAAAGAAAAATATCAATCACGGGGCTATTAGTTGATCTAATACAAAATTCTCTAAAACTAACATCATAAGAATCGTACGGCAGGCAGTAAGGAGTATTAGTTATGAAATCTTGAGAGGGTTAAAATCACAGAATTCTCCCCCATCGATTGGTCTTATAGCCGGAATTATACCCAACTGAATGATAAAATGGTATAACTTTACAAGAATATACCACGATTTTGTCTCCACTACGCAACAAATAACACAGTAGTGTAAACCAAATAAGTTTATTCAGGGAAGCCTGCCGAGAACCAACCCGAGGCATATGTTGCCTGAGGCATACATACATGCATACATTTGCAACTGATATACCATATACAATACTGATATACAATCAATTCCTGACACATTCAAAAATAGGTATACATCGCTAACATGTTAACTTCACCAAGTCAGGATTAACAGAGATGGGCAACCACTTACAAGGACACTACTTCGGTTATGCGGAGGCCACAAAAAAACCTCCTTGAGGAAAAAAATATGACAGGAAATCTGGGTAGGAACTATGGCCCAAATTCAGAGCAGTTAGTAGCCCATCCTACGAGGCTTCATAGTTAAACAAAATAAGTTTTTAAACAAAAATAAATTTGGCGTCAGTCAAAGGTGCAAGGTTGGTTCTGAAGCCTAGATGGACATCACGTGCCATACTCTCCCCATCGTTACCCATGATTCTCGGGCCTTGTCGTATCTCGTGCCGACAAAATATTTATTTCTGCCTTATTCGCAGACTCAATCGTCAGAAATACCATTTTCTTGAGCTTGGACGATTTGGACCATAAGCCAAGCTCTAATTAAAAGTCAAAACACAACCTAGTCAACTTATTTCGCAATCCGTTATTTACTTAAGAAGGGATACATCCAACCAATACAATAAAAACAATCGAAGAACTTGCTTTTACTCAAATTTCCGCTCGCTCAAACGCAAATTCTTTTTCTTTGAAGTACAGCCACTCTTTACCAGGTAACCTAAACTCCGATCCAGAGCGTCTCGCAATGTATTTTTCTTTAAAATTAGAGTTATGCAGGTAAAAAAGAGTAGAAACGCTTATTTGACGGAATGTTATGAAAATGATTGCGTAACTTAAGTTTTAGTATTGAAATTAACCGTGATATTGAAAATTCTATATTTCATTGTGTTTCTTGTACTTTTTTAGAGGGAAAATGGTAGTTCGGTTATGTCTTTAAGTAAGAACTGTAAGACACATAGATGGAAAGAAACTGCCTGTCTTAAGCAATTGTTAAAGAGAGCAGGCTGCCAGTTTTCTTTATGTCGAATTTTGCTTCTGCTCGTTGCTCAAAAAGTTCCACTAGGAGCCAATATACACCATTTACTTGCATAACAAACAAAGATATTTTCGTCATTTACAACGAACATGCTGATCAAATACACCTGACCGATAGAGGCCATACACTACATGTACCTTTACAAAATTGCCTTTAAAATACAATTGTGGGGTAATTGAAAGCGTCACTCATAAGAAGGTTAAGCCACTGGTTTGGATTGAATCAATCATCAAAAGAAGCACAGTTCCATCGGGGTGACTCATCTGAGCGGGACAGGTTACTCTCAGGGAACAGACAAATAGTTTTTTTAAGAAGGACGGGTTACGACACCGAATTCAATTTTGAAACAACAACTGATTTCTTCAAGCAAGTAACCAAGCGGGATGATACTTATGACTTGGATTCAAATCTTAACATACTTAAATCTCGCTATTCTTCTTCCTGACGGAGGTAAGTATAAATCTGTGACTTCCCTACACAACGCTCTTTCATTCTATTCAGATTTCATGTTCTATATTTTTCTCAGCCATTTAAATTTTCGATTTATCGTCAACATAAGCAAACGTATTTACTTAACTGAATAAATACGAGTACCGCTGACATTTTTGTCTTAGCAGGGGAAATAAAGGTGGGTCGCGAGTCACCACAATAGCAGTATAAATGTTACATATCGGGGTGTTCTTAGTCAGTGAGATGTGATTAGAACCACCAGGGACTCAAAACTGGCCTTCGCTTGCGATTGGCTACCTCAAAGCACGAAGTGTCTTTTCTTATGTCTATTTTTCCAAGAACTGGTAATATCTCAAACTATTCGTGACTAACAATGGGAAATATCATGTTTGTTATTTTCTTGTCTTGTAGCGTGTTTCACATGGATACAAGAGCCAGAGAAACCAACTCAAGCTTATCTGGGTTCAAGAACTGTCCTCCGATGGAGCTTTGAGTCTGTTGGTGACACCTTTTTGTTTCTCTTGATATCTAAAAACAATTCCTTGTATGGTGAACCAAAACAGCGGGAAATTGTAACAAAACTGGCAAACGGAACCATATACATTTATGATGAGTTCAAAGATCGCGCTGAGTTACTAAACCAGACTACACTTGTTCTAACTGGAATACGAAATGATGACGATGGAAACTACTGCTGTCAAGCTTTCTTCTTACAAGGAATGTACACAAGCTGCGTGGATTTACTTGTGCTAGGTATGGTGACTCAGTGAAATGATTTTTGTTCTACCAATTTATCTTGGACTGATCCTAAGTGAAGCAAGATACAGTGCGAAACACACAAATAGAGCTTCCGGGATCAGTCCAGGGTCGCCCGTCTTGCTTCAGCAGACATTAAACCTAGAAGTCAGTCATTACAAGATATTATAAAAGGTCATGCCAGTTTACAATCTCTTGGTCAGTACTCTACCCACAAAATGTCCCCCTATCTCACAAATTGTGGCGCATCATGATTTCCGAATTAGAGATATTTGAGTTTCCTTAACTCTGACCTATTTTCGATCTGTAGAAAACTTCAATCTTTCTAAAGTGTGCCTTTTAGCCTAGTTATAGCGAGTTTCTTTCTTGTAGTCATTAAGATTTCTTTATCCGATTCCTACACCGTTGTAATTTCCTCCTGCAATGCAGCTGTCCTTTACTTTCTTTTATTTTCAAACATCAATACAACTTAATAAGAGTGTTTTCGATGATTATGAATCTTAATTGGTCATGCCAGACAAGTACGTCGAGTCTACTTCTGTAGAAGGTTGGATGCTGGTAACGTTAAGTTGCAGAAAGAGGCTGCAGTGGATAAGCCATTCTCCCTTTTAGACTTGAAAAGCTTAAGGAGCGAGAAAAGTGTCTCTAAATCATGTTCAGACAGAGACCACCTCAAGGCATTCACCTGATTTGTATGGTTGGATATATATCCGCAAAAATAGAATGCCTCAAGGCTCTTGGGCCTAATTATATTATTAAAAAATTGAATGGAGGCAACCATTCAGTTTTGAAACATTACTTCCAACCCTTAGACATTAAAAGCGGCGTTAAAAGAAAGGCTTTATCTTCACTTCCCCCTCATCGATATTCTCCACCTCCTTGCCAATAAATCAGCCTTTTGGGTCCTCAACCGAAGACGTGTACCTACACACAAGATCGGGAAAGAGACTGTTCTTACATTGGCAAAACCCGTCCTTTGCCGGAGGCAAGTGCATCGGTAAGCTTACGTGGGAGAAAGTAGAGGTGACAGCTTTAGGGCTATGTTACAAGGATTTTGAAAACCTGATATATTTCTAAACATCAACTCAAAGAGCTGGGAAGAAGAAGCAGCAAGAAGCGATCGACGTCGAGGGAAGAGAATATGCCGAGCGGACTGAATAGGAGAGAACCAAACAGAAGGAAATCAACTGTAGCAACAGCCTCACAAGCTGCGATCATCTTACTCTGCAGGGACTGTCGTTCATGCCTTGGTCTTATCAAACTAAAGTCGACGATGTTTCAGCCACTTTGGCGCATCAATTATGATCAACGCCGACCGAAGGAGGACTTCAGTACCATACAAAATTAAGGGAGCAAAATTGAGCGCACTAGCAATACCTTGTTTGGGTTTGAATCAATTTGTTATTTGCAATATTAAATGGCGATCCTTTCTGGAAGTATTTTTCTTCACATTTCTTACCGATATTTTCACTGAACCTTCATTTGCATCAATGTCTAAATCTCTTAAACCACTTCCTAACTTTCTTCATTACATCACAAGCTCCTTTCGGTTCAGTGGCCAGTTATTATGGATGTAAACAGCATATAAATGTTTAGAATCACAACTTATGTCTTCCCTTTACAAATAACTGAGACTTGAAAATCTAAATTAAGTTTATGATTGAAAACCAACCACTACTTTAACATTTGCATATTTAGTGGCTTTGTCCTCTTCATAGGAACAACGCTGAATTACAGCAATTTGAAAAATAAGATAAATAACTACTACTTGCCAACTTGAACAGATGATGTCACTCGATATCATTCTACACTCTCAACAATTATGACCACGAGTTCTGCCTTTACCATGTCTCAAGTTTAGGAATAAATTCATTTTTATAATAGCTATTTTGGTTTGGTGATGATGCTCCCTTGCTGATAAGATGGAATCGTGTTCATAATTAGTCCATATTCAAGAGAATATATTTAAACGTCGTCGCCGTTCTTATTTTGTTCATGAAATCTTTGTCGATCCATTATGGTAAAATAATCATGGTGACCACAACATGTACACCAGAGACAGATGAAGATTCCTGTTATACAGATCAGAAGCGCAATTACAGATAATAACGAGTGGAATTCGTTATAATGATCACCTCTAAGTCTCTTCTCTGCGCCAGCTTCTGCGTCACACAGCGATAGCAGATTGCTACAAAGCACCACAAAGAAAATGTCACCCACAATACGTCTTCGCTTCTTCCTGATATGGCTCTCTGAGTGTTTTGTTTCTGGGTTTGTGTGAGAATTCGTAAATTTTTCAATCACTTTCCACGACTTAGACTGGTAAGGAAACATCAGTGATGGCATCTTTGAAAGTTCTAGTGCTGAATCATTTTCCAGTGTGTCACGAAGTCGAGATACAGTGAGAAGGCCTTAATTTCAATTACAAGGAAAAATCGATCAATTTGTCGTATGTAAAGTTGGTCACCCACACATAAAAAAGTTCATTTGACCGAGTGTCAAATACATTGATCGGAACGTGACATCGCTTAAAAGGAACTTTTGGCAACTGCTGTCTTATCAAGACCTTTGTTTTAACAGAAAACGAGATCTAATAACGTGTCTGACAGTTTACATTTTGTTCTGGATGCCTGGCAGGTGAGTTTCGCATCTAATCTCCTGAATTCAGCCACCAGCCACGTTTGCTGTATATTACATATCTATATTGAAAATACTTCTTCTAATTTCTTTGACTGAGGGGCCCAGCTGTGACGTTGTTCGTCTGTCATTGTCAAACATTGACTATAAATATTTTATATTTGATAACTTAGAGCGAGTCGATTTTCTTCTTCATAACACGGAACATAAATAAAGAGGATATTATTCCAAATGGAATCCATCTGAACGATCTTATTTCTTTTGCTAATCTGCTTCTACGAATTCTTTATGATATAAAAGAGGTTTACCAAACGCAGAAATCGACAGAAATCATTAACTTTTGAATGGGTGACTTTTTCGCCTCCAGCAATGCTTTATCTGTAATAGCTATTGGACTAAACACTAAACACACAAAATTATGCAGAAAAACGTTTTGGTGTAAACAATTTCCAATTTATTCTAATATCATTATTATTCATACTTTCTCTAGGATATGTTTGAGCTAGCAATTGTTAAGCAAAACGTAAAAAACAACGAAATAAGGCAAAAGTGGTTGTCGAATATTATAATGGCTTAATGTACTTTGGTAAAAAATGTGCAATTGTTAATTGTTGTGTTTTGTCTTGAATAAAGCTTTGATCCATGGCTAGGCTTTCAAACTAATTTTTTTGGACTGAATGAAAATTTTGTTAATAGTAAACATAAGGAAGAGTTTTTTTATTTATTCTACCTTTTCCTTGGAACTCTGACAGGGTAAAAGTTCATACAATGATTTCGTATCACAAAGACGGAACAAATACTTCACATTTAGCAGCTCCTCCCTTACATATGAGTCTAAAAAATGACCTCGGGAATAGGGATTCGTTATCCAATATTACTTTAACTTTTATGCCTCAGGTTATCCAAGGTACCTAATAACGAAGATTTCCATATTGCCAGTTTATGCAGCTGATCAACTGATACCCTGATTAACAATTTCAGGGATGTCCTCTGCTCGTCTGAACCTTGCCATACTCAAAGTTGAAGCAAGGTCCAAGAAATTTGTTTTTCTTTCGCCTTTGCAGATGATCCTTTAATATATTTTGGCAAAACCGAAACTCTTTCGGAGTTCACCGCTTACAATTAACAGTTGTGCACTAATGGAAGATGATTAAAGCGGGCGTGAAAACGGAACTAAGCCAGGCAGATAATAGAAGAAATATCACTTCTACTCAAAGACCTATTTTTAGAAATAAAGGAAACACAATGAATTATTTGCCAAACTTCAAACTGTTCAAGGAAAATTGTATATACTTTCGCACGCTAGGTGCAATATTTTCGTGTAATAATTTTTCGATAAATAGATAAAAAAGAGAAACTCAGCCAAATAAGATTACATTTTGCAGTGCTTGGTTATTTTGAAATTAATTGAACAAACTAATAAGAAGAGATTTACTGTAATATTTAATGACAAAGTTCAACGCTAGAATTTTATCGAAATATCTAAAACTCTAAACACTTTGCAAAATTGTTCGTAGAATATTTTCACGACGTTTCGACGTTGCTTCACGTCATCTTCAAATCCAAAGTGTGAATGACAAATGAAAATATCTGCAATAGGGAGAGTGTTTTTGTCGTTAGAGTATATATGAAATAATTACGAAATGTTAGATAGAGTTTGGCGCATGTCGAGTCTTCGAGTCTTCCTTGTTATCGAAGATATGTGGACGACACGCTAGTCACAATGCACACCACAGAATCAACAACAAAGTTTATCCAAGCACTTAATGATGTCCACTCATACTTGGCTTTTACCGTGGAGCTTGAAGAAGAGGGCTCGATCGTATTCTACGGCACAATTATTAGAGCCTATGAAAACAGCTAAACTACTGAAAACCAACTTACAGGCCCTCTATTACGTTTTCAGAGACGCGTCGACAACAAGAGAAGATTGGTAAACAGATAATTGATCGTTCTCGCGAGAGACGCTCCCTTAACTGAGCGCGTCAAGCTTTGCACCATGTTTTAGAATTTGCGCTTTTTCCTTAATTTTGATTGATGGAGTTTTGATTTGAGCTGAGTTCATAGACGGCAGTGTAATAGCTGAGCGTCATATATAATTCGGTGTGTTGTGGTCATCATTTCAATTGCAGAAGAGATCTAACGCATAAACGTTGTCTATTCTTTCTGCCCTGTTATGAGAACGCCAATGCTTAAACGTGGGCTTACTGCAGACTAAAAAAATGTTCCTCACGGTGAATAAGTGTTGCTAACGAATTAATTTATCATTTTTAGGCCACAAACCGATGAACACATCATTTATTTCCTGTTCTGCTGATAACACAGTGTGGGTAAATGATGGCATTGTTTTCAGCTGTTCCTCAATTAGCAGTCCATCTCCTGCAACATATGTCATATACCATAACGGCAAGAAAATAAAGAAAAACAGATCTGGATATCACAAGATATGTAACGTCAAGCGACAGCATGCCGGTAATTACACTTGTCAACCAAGGAACACTTTTGGGAACGGAGAATGTAAGAGCATCCGTTTAACTGTGTATGGTGAGTGCTGAGTACGCATAAGTCAAAGTTAACACAGGGGCTATGGTTACGAAGTTCGACAGGTTTCTTAAAAGTTTCTGTTAAGTTGTTTTCGGACCTGGGTTTTTACTGTCGTGATTAACTAACCAACCAATGGAACACTCGATTGATACGTAGCACCAAAGTTGTTTGACCACAAGAGCAAAATGTGTGATAAACAAGTGAGACAGATATATTTGGAAAACGCCACGATTTAGTTTCATAGAAAAGCTTTAAGCATGGAGTGTTTTGTCCTTACTTACCAGAAAAGCTGGCTGTGCATGCGATTCCACGTTGGCGGAATGTGACAGAGGGGCGTGCTGCACGTTTTGAGTGCAGCGCCGCAGGAAGCCCACCACCCAACATTACATGGACATCCCTGTCCACTGGAAAAGTTTACAGCGGAGGTCTCCTGTTGATAAAGTCTGTCCAGCGAAATGACACAGGAGATTATCAGTGCTCGGCTTCTAATGGGCTATCGGCACCCACCAAAGACATCGTGTTTTTGAACGTACTCTGTAAGTAAACCTCTTCTAGAGGGTGCAAAAGACAACTATCCTCCTTGGGAAATTATGAGAAGTAGTAGAGACCGGAATTTGTCCTTTGATTTAAAGCTCAAAACAAAAAAGGATGATATTAACAAGGAAAGGGAAAAATTATGAAACTATTTATCAACTTGCCTTCTGGAATTTCGCAGATCATAACTCATATAAATCGTAGAAGGAAGTTTTTTTTAGTATCTTTGCTTTTTCGTCATTTCTCAATGACTAATCATTTAACAGTATATATCACTAAAACGCCATGGAAAAGCTTTGTTGTAACAACTGTTTCTCATAAAATGAAGTGCAACTACTCTTTTTCTAATTATGCTTAAGACCCCCCGACAATCACCGACACCGCGGGGCCAAACGTCAATGTTAAGGAAGGTTACAAGCTCACCCTCTATTGTCATGGTAACGGAAACCCTCAACCAGTTTTTACCTGGAAATTGTTGGGTACCAATCAAACGTTTAGCGGTGGAGACGAGCGCAGTATTATGTTGAATGCACAGAAGTCTCACGCTGGAGTTTACCTTTGCACGGCGAGCAACTTCTTGGGAAACGTCTCCAAAACAATTACATTAAATGTCTGGTGTAAGTACGAGTATATTCAATGGTTATGTGTCAAAAGCATTATTACTAGTGAGAGAGTGTCAGACAGTATTCACTTCTCTTTAGTCGAACTATATAGCTGCTCAGCTATTGTTGCTCGGATGATTGTCAGAACAACCGAATTTTTTTCAATTATGTTAAATCATAATTCAGAAATCTCAAAAATAATGCCGCTAACAAGTTTGAAGTTGAGGTTTTATTTGAAATCGTCAAACATCGCCACAAAACTGACCAATCACGAATCAGTTGTATGATGCTCGATTTTCAAACAACTCCTCTCTCGACTTTGCTGTGGTTATCGAAACGTCAGTCACTGTCACGGAAAATACTGCTGTCACGATTATTCTCATCAAAATGATCAGACCAGCCGATCAAAAGCCTCTTTGCTCAAACTAAGTCTTTGGAAACAACCACTATCTGCATGCATTCGCATTCGTTCACAATTTCGCTAAAGCACTGAAAATCTTTTCTACTGAGAAAAGTCTTCGCCGACGGCTCTTTAATTCAAACTTAATGCTTGATGATGATTAATTTACGCTAATCAAAAAGCTGTAAAGGATTCAGTTCGCAAAATTTTCATTAAGGAAACCTAGTTTTCCTCTCCGAGATAAACCAAAAGTTTATCAGGAAGGAGTGACCTCAGTTACCGTGTGGATTTGTTGGGAAACGAGAAAACATTTCTCAGGCCAAACAATTTTAATAACAACTAAGGAGAGTTTTTCATCTCCTAATTCCATTATTGACTAAGTGACTTACTCAATCGATAGCAAGTCCAGTTCGTCCAATCCTAACCCATTTGGAATGCGGAAGTTCTTTCATCCGAGTCTCATGGAAAGTCCTTTCACAAGAAGAGGGGAGTTTTGTTATAAGTTACGTGGCTCAAGCGATCGACCAGGACAACCCCAGAAATGTTTTTAACTGTTCTGACATAACTATCAATCACTGCATCATTAAAGGACTCCAACCAAACACAACCTACTTGGTTCGAGTGTACTCAACAAATGTGGCTGGACATGTTGTTTCTGAGTACGAGAGAATTACGACAAAAGGGGAAGGTGAGTAGGTTGATTTTCGAAATATTTGATTAGGAATTTTCATAACTTGAAAAAAATCAATTATTTGTTAGTTTGAAAAGTTATACTGAGGAAAAACTAAGGATGTCTATAGGGACAAAGAAGCAACAAGGAACAGACAACAAAACAAATGAAGGACTTTCGACCACTACGTTGATGACAGTGCTAGCAGCTGTTGGAATAGCCATTTTCGTTGTACTCATTGGGACACTGATTGCCGTGAGGCGCACAAGGTCTGTTGGAAAAGGTAAGCAACACGACAGAGGCTTAAAAGAGATCAGCCAGTTCAATTACCGTCTAGAATTCTTTGGATCTCCTGTCAAACTTTTCTTTTTTTAATCTTTTTCAAGGAACAGTTTCGAACAATTGAGTCCCAGGCGTTTCAGTTTCGACTTTGGTGTTGATAATCAATCGGACACAAAAGACATATCACTACGCTAACAATACTGGAACTTCAGAGGAAACCAAGAACCACAAAATCTAATTTGCACTACCATTTGAAAATTAATTATTCCACGATCTATATTTTGCTGTACTGTAATTTAACTGTTTCTAATAAGTTTATATCTTTTAGGCGCCCAATTTGCTCAGGACTGTGTATATATTGAACTATAATAATTTCTCCTTGGCTTAATCCATCTTGGATGATTTAATTTCCACGGAATTTCCTTTCCGTCCAGCATACTGGCTCACTCGGCTTTCTGTATTCTTCTGGCTTTTCTCTTCTTTTGTTTAAATTCCTTCCTCCATTCATTTTGACCGTTTACTGTAGATTAAAAAAATGCAGGTTTCAAACATTATGAGGCCTTTCTCGTTTGATCGTCAATGAAAAGTTCGTTGTCAGGAAATAAAACTTATAAAAGTAATATTTTCTTGCCTGAGCAGTGGGCTTCAGGAACATTCTCCTTACTCTAATTAAGGAAATGTATGGTTTGGATACCCTTCTGAGGGAGAATTCGTTGCTAATTTTATCTCAATATAAATCTCTCCGTGCACCAAATACCCCCCCTCCCAAAAAAAAAGGAAAAAAATAAGAACTTAACACCTTGTAAGTGATGAGATAACCAACCTTCGCACACAAGTGCTGTTATTTAGTTTTGTCACTTTTGGTGAAAGCTCTTTGCGTAGAACAAATTTGATGATCATTCACTATTTGTCACTGGAATTCAAACGCACTTGCCTCAAACGCAAAAGTCCCATAGCCATAGCATAGTCCCACAATATCATTAAAAGCCCTCATCTTTTCATAAATATAACCTACTTCAAATACAGAGTTCAAATTTCTGTGTTCAGCTTAAGTCTAAGATCCCAGGTGCTATATGACTTGAGCTGTCTGACAGATCTCGATGTAGCCTTATCATTAAACTGCTGTTTCAGCGATTGGTAAGCAATACATTGGTGATCTGAACGATCTAGTGAAGAAAAGTGTTGAACATTTTGTTATGTTATTTATATTTGTAAGAATTTGATCCAGAATATTATTGCCACGAGTCGGAGATTTGGTGATTTTACAGAGACCAAAATCTCTGACATACATACATTCATACATATATAACTATTAACCTAGAATTTACAGAGTAGCACTCAAATGCCGATATCTTCGAGCTGGTTACATCAATAACTTATTACGAACAAGAGTTAATTCTATATAACAAGCAAAATAACTAACTACCTAAATAAGTAACTTTCTAAATTAACTTAGCGTGTACACCAAGTTAATTTAGCAAGTATTTAAATACTGCAATACAAGATTAAAATTCACTCCTTTGTTCAAAATTATAAGAAGATGTTAGTCGACGAAAAATATCATGTTTTGTAAGCGCTTATTCTAAAGGTTTGCAGTTCCTGTTCTTTTTAAGTAATTTATCGTAGCCAGACGTCAAGTCCTTGAAACTAAATCGAAGAGCACGTATATTTAGGGGGTCCAGATTAGAATCTTGTTAACTGGAGAAATGCCATACCATGGAACAGTAGTGGAAGTAGGGAAGTATAAATGCCTCATAAAGACGAAGCTTGGTTTCAGTAAACATCAGTTTGCCAGATCTTGTCATACTTGAACGCTTAACTGACTGTTTATTTTTATACGCAAAGAGAATACATGCTTAAATTGTAACGCCATAGAGATCCACTGATTCATTCTCTGACAACTTAAACTGATGGTTAGTGTTTCATTCCTTGATGTTTGCTAGAATTGGCTATCACTCCATTGATCTCGTATCAGGCTTTTGCTGAGTTTACCTTACGTGAGAAGACCGGATCTATACATAGTTAATTGTACAGTTTCCAATTTATAGGAATAAATGATTTAAAAATATATTACAAAAAACATTGGTGCAAGAACATTGCCCTGTGGTACCCCTCGCCTAGCCCCTTGCCAATCTGAACATGTGTCACATACTTTCACCTGCTGCATGCTGCTGCGTAACGGTAATCTTCAAGAAGCTTACAACTTCTGCTGTTAACACCATATGCCTTTAGCTCGGCAAATAAATCAATTTATATTACCGCAACAATCTGTTTATCATCTAGACTTCACTTCTAGTTTTCTGTTAATCTCATCAGCGTGGTTTCACTAATGTAATGTCTCCTATAAGCTGAGGTGTAGTAAGGCATTATTTCAGAATAGAATTGGTCTAGATGAGATGTAAGAAATTTCTCTAAAACATTTTTTGGGGCTGACAAAGTTCATCTTGCTTGAGCATACCAAATGTTTATCAAAGGAGGTTGTCAAGCTTAAGTTATTTACAAAAGTTATGTGTCATTTTTACTAAGAAAGGAGAGGACAAAAAATATTCCAAGAAATTATGTTAACCTTTCGGCAAATTTTCAAGGAAGCGCTGCAAAAACTGAGCGGATGAACACAAAAGCTAACAAGAACTTGAAACATAGCTAACATGCGACGGTCGTTGTGTTGAAAGAGAAGTCGATAAACGTTGATGAATTAATTTACCCACCATTCATTAAAGCTGAGAGAAACAAATGGATATATTTTGAGAGCGGAACAGTTAGAACGGTGCTCTACATAAGTTAGGAAAAAATCTTACATACGCCTTGAGAAGTAATTTTGCCTCTTAGCTTAGGCATCGAAAAGTAATGTGTTTACGAGGAGCAGCATTTTTTCTTGGCCACTTTTTTAAACGCAGATGGCGTTTTTAATTAATTTTGGAAAAGTCAATAGCTCATGAAACTCGGACAGACTCAGTATGAAATACAAGCACGTATTTGTTCTAACTTGTGATTCACGCCATGAATAAATTCATTTCTCAACTCTACGTTGTCCAAGTTCAAAGAATTCTTTCAGTACACCATGAGCTAAACCATCAAGTGCGTATACAGCAAAGACTGAAAATGGTGCGAGAAACAGGAAAAATATTTTTAATGATTCAGATGTTGTCTCCATGACGAGTCTTAATTTTGACAGGTGGTGTCATCGCATCAGGAAAAGAAAACAAACTGAGAAATTTTTGGTGAAAAATTTCTTACAAAAGTAACTGTTACATCTTACTTTCTCTGAGGATTATTCTCTTCGTATTTGCCGGAGTTGAACTGCCACATACATTTTGCAGCGGCTCTAACGGTGTAACAGTGTTTCTGCGACGACACTTACGGCAAATTTTTCTCAAAGCATCGCGGTATCCTTTGTTTCGGTAAAAGTAGATGATAGGATTTATGGCAGAGTTTGCAAAACTAGCCGTGATAGGTGCGATGTAGCTTACTCCATAGTTTTTCTGTGGGTTAATGGCGATGTGGAAACCAAAAGATGCCCAGCATATTGTGAAGAAACCGATCACAAGTGCAATAGTCAATGCCAGTTTTTTTTCTTTTTCTCCGCCTGCAGCTTGGTGGTCTTGAAGCTCTCTTTGCCTCAGGGTGTTTTGTTTTCGAACAGTTATGAAGATTACCGAATAACAGACAATTACAACTGAATACAAGGCAATCATGCCAACGAGAATAAAATATATGTACACAAGTTTATCCTCAACAAATGCGTCTAAGAGAGGAACAATCCAGGCCGAACACCAATGAAAACCCAAAATGGACTTTAGAAATCCTTTAGTGATTGTGGCTTTATATTTCATGGGTTTTAGAATGACAAAACATCGTTCGAAACTCATTGTGGCTAAAGTCAAAATGGAAACCGCACAAGACAAGTTTCCAATGAAGCGAGCAGCGTATTCAGCTCTAACATAACAAGTTCCGTCAAGTTTACCAACGAAGATCGAAATAGCTAGTGGCTGAGCTACCATGGTGACCATCAGATCGGCTAAAGCTAGATTCACGATGCAGAAATTTGACACAACTCGCAGGTTTGGTGTGAGTAGGACAGTTAGGCATACAAGAATGTTCCCAAAACTTCCAACCACGCTTAACAAGCAATTTACAGCGATGAAAAATGCCCCATTCATGTAAGTTAAAGTGCATCGGCCTGTATCGACCTCTAAATCAGCAAACATGATAACCGTTGTAATTTATCGCGAGTTCTCTGAAGCAATGGAAATTTTAGGTTATAACGAAATCCAGGTGATACTGTTCTTTATCAAATAGGCTGAAATGTGTCATAAGTCAGATGTTCTAGGTAAAGTGTAAATTAACGCAATTCCTTATATGGATGTCACGAACAAACAAAACACATGGAACGTGTTTAACTCAGGAACGTGGATAGAAACTCCTTTTTGTACGATATTACTGCATACCGTGTGTTTTATTGGCCTTCAAATTTAGAATCAGTCATGAACACGAAGGTTGTCTGGTAGGTTACTACAGCGCAAGTGGTTCCAGTTGAACCCTTCTGGAACAAAGCCTCGCTATGCAGCCCTTTCCAAAACAGGAGATTATTGTCTCGTGCATGATTAATCAATTATTTTACCTTTCTTGTTTTAATCGATTCACAAGATTAATATAGCCATACATTTTTGATGGCGTCAGTCCTAAAGTATGACATTCCTCTCTTTTTCATTCACGTTGTTTTACCATTGCAACTGTGTGGAGAGTTTCTTTTCAGAAACTTACGAGCGTCAGGATTTTTTTCATTTTTGTGATATCATTAATCAAGAAATTGTTTCATGAATTCGGTACGCCACGACGATCGCTAACAGCAGTTTTATTGATTATCTGTGGTCGTCATTAAATATTCGTCTCTCAGTGAACTATTCACCAACAGCGCTATTGGAAGAGCGCAATCATTTTTCTCCAAGTCACCCCATGATTCTTGCTGCATTGTAGACCATTTCTGCAACGTGGACCTTATTCAAACAGCGGTGAACAATTAAACGCACCACAATAGATTAGCAGAGTTCTAATTGTTAAGCGCTTGTTACTGCTGCACTGAGGACTCCCAGGATATGAGTTGTTTGTATTTTCGCTCGCCCTACGGGCTCGTCAAAATACTGCACAACTCATAAAAATGCTCTGCGATACTTCACATCAAAACTTCTAGTAAGATATATGCATTGTCATTGGACATTATCTGTTCACGAAGCTCACACTTTTCCTCAAGCATCGGTTTCGGAAAGTTGTTTGCATCTTGGAACAGATTATATCCCCGGACAAATATCCGTGCATATTTTCCCGCCAAATAGAGGCTATTGTTTTATATTGAATATGATCACAATAGAGCCCAGACCTACGACCTGTTTCGACACAGTCTGCTTACAATGCTGAGCCTTCCTATAGCTTTGCATTGGTAAAGATTTCTCATATAAATGATATTTCAGCGATCATGCCGAGGGCCTATATGGTAGACCTCACGGAAGGTATTTAATAACTATAATCCATCGTACATCTTTTCTATGTTGCGTTCTTGGGCATGTTTCTGGGAATACACGGCTTATGCTGCTAACCCCTCATTAGTAATGCACAATCTTTCTGTGAGCTAAAATGAATAGCACAATCCTGTTACTTGCTGCTAACTAAAATCCTGGCTTAGCAAGAGTTTTCTAGCTCACAAATAACTACCGGCTTTTTCACAACAATCCTGTTATAGATTTTTGCTTGTTTTGTTAAAATAATTGAATAATTGAATAAATGTTCGTGAAAATCTACCCAAACAAAGTTAGTGATACACCCCAAAAACTATAGATTGCTTCTTGCACCTGATATATGGGGTAACAGCAATGGTCATTGTTCTTTTGTGGCTTGAGTTCTTGGGATGGGAAATTACATATATATATATTGCCATATATGGATAGGTGTATCACGAATAGTATCAGCAGATTCACTGGAGAAGTGGATATAGGAAATAAAGTGCTAATGAACAGCACTTAGTGACATGTGCACGAATTAGTATTGTTTTAAAATTTTTCGTTGCAAAAGCCGTAGACAGGAGCTCCTGGAGACCTTTCAAATCATCACATAATTGATGAGCAGTTCACGCGAATTATTGGCTAGATTCACAACAAAATCACTTACCAACGTCTCTTGTACGTCCTCCGTGCAAATTACTCGAAACACTTTCCAAAGAGTTGGATTCAGGGCTGTAATTACGGCAATATTTACCATGTACTGAAAATTGTTTTGGCTCGTACATACATAGTATTAGCAAGAGAGTATAAACTATTTACATTCTCTTAATAGTAGACAAACAGAGACAACGTAGTTTAAAGAAAGAGGCTTTACCAAAACATTTTTATTTACCTTGTGATAGACGTTATTTGAAAGGCTTCCAAGAAAACTTTGAAACATTTTTTATAAGTCTCTGTAGAGCTGACACACAAATTTGCTGGCAACCAAAGTGATTTGAGAGAGCGTGAAGAGAACAACTTCTTACTTCCCTTTGCTTGCTCGAGCCGTACTGGGAAATATTGGTAATGGTAGTGCACTGCGGCGCACTGCAACGACCTCAGGTCAGTAGTCCACAGTATGACTCGAGCAAGCAAGGTTTGTTACAAGAAATTTATCATATGGCACTCGGATCAAACTTGTTTATTATATGTATAAAAGACCTTCCGGTCACTTGTATTGGAAGGGCTTCCGCCGTGACATATTCTTGATGACACGAGCAACTCAGAAAGACCAAGCTTTCACGAGTTTGAAAACAAATTGTTTAAGCATCAAACCATAACTGAAAGGTTTTCATCTTCAGCGCCATGTACTTGCACTTGTACTCCGCAGATGGTAGTACTATTCTCGATTTGTCAAACTCGTTGTCCTTGGATAGGTTGAATGAATATTTCTACTCGTATAAGTATCGCTGTTTACTTCGCTGAAAACTGGAAATTGTTTCTGATACGCGCTTTTCTCTATTTTTCCTGCGGTTGTTTATAAAAAAAATTGAAGAAAGGTGGTCAAGGGTTTCCTAAGAACCAATCAGAACGCTCGGTTTCACCCACGGAAGAGACCACCCTGCCGTATAATGACCCTATCGTGATTAAGTTATTTATCGGCTTGAGGTCGAGACCGAAGTCTTGCTTAGAAATGCTACTATATCAGTCAAACGAAATACATTTATGAAAGATGGTAACGTAGCTGAGGATGCACTTGGCGACTCACGAAAGCGTTGCCGTGTCAGGGGATAGAGACAGGAAAATCCGGACCGCGCTATGGACCAGTCAGATTACGTTATTCGTTACCGTGCTCTCTTGGAAGAAAGTAAAGGAAATTATTTAGACTCCTTATTCATATGCCTTTACTCACAACTTACAATAGGTCTAACAAACGAACGAGTACATTTTTTAATGACTTTGAAGTATATGATTGTGGGGGAGAAGTTTCTTATATGTTGAAAAATTGCAGAAGAAAATCTAAATAAAAAACCAGTGCGTAACAAACTAATAGGTAAGGAAGTTAAAGTCAAGGGCGCTGATAATAATGTCGATGCAAAACGTGCTGTGCTGAAAATAATCAAACAAGTAAAAATAAGCATTGAATAATTTTAAATTATTAATATCAAAAGAAAACAAAACTACAAAAAGAGACTAATTACAGGCAATACACACAATGAGAGACTGACTAATGTACTGAAGAGAGCAGAACAAGCTAGGCTTGAATAAAAGAGAAACTATTTACATTAACAAGGAGAAATACGAAAACGTCAACGAACAAAATTAAGTAATAAGGCAAACAACGAGAACACGAACAAGGAAACTTCGCAACCCCTGGCACCCACAAAAGACTTCTCTCAAGCTAAGGCTGGTATGCCAGTGGTTGAGTAAGCTATTACCACATTTAGCCTCAAAATGAACGAAGAAATATGGAATTGTTAACCCATTCACTTACTCCTAAAATAGTAATACTTTATATGAAGATACACAAAGATGTGTACTGAGAGACCTAAGAAGGGGAACCTTCCGCAGATAACAGCTGTATCTTTCTCTCGTTCATCAAGTGTACTTTCTTGTAGAACCGAGACCGCCGATGTAAGTTCCTGTCGCCCGACTATTTGCCCCTTGGTCTCCGATGATGACAGTAATTCAACGATTCGAAATGACTACATAAAATCAGTTCACAGTGTCGTGACATCGCTCTGGAAATTTAACTCAAAACTACAGTCGTACATTCCCTTTTGTATGATAGCCGAGACACTAGAACGCCCTGATTGATCGAAAGCCTTTCGGTTAAAGCAACGGTTAACCCATGATGTTGACACAATTTTGAAGTTTATTTCATAAAAGCAATTAACAATTTCAAGCGGTTTACCGGCGTAATAACCCACTTACGAAGTTTGCTCGTGATTTCAAATTTGTCTCATGTTTTCTCGCCATCCCGAATTGGTTATCACGCCAGTAAACCAATGGTAAGTGTGGTCCATTGCTTCAAAGAAACGTACAGAGGAAAAAATACTACTACAGTAAAAGCGATTGAGGAATTTTATTGCACGTTTTTAATATACAGCAATCATCAGAATACTACATAAACAATTGCTTAATTCTAAAAATATAACTAGATATGTGTACCGGCAAATAAGCCTGTTATGCTTTAATTGTACTTAGTAAAGGTACTGACCATAATGAATAGGCCTCACAATAAATCAGCAAAAATGCAAATCTGGTGGAAAAAAAAGCCTCACTATATATGAAATCGTTATCTCTAAATTATTAGTCGTCTTCTTGAAAGTTAATGAAAATCATTAAAACTTAATTAAATAATTACAAGATCACTCAAAAACCAAGCAGTCTATCCTACCTGTACTTTCATCATTCACTTAACGTAAGGTAAATGATTCTTACAACTTAACTAGTTACGAGCCTATTAGTAAAATAAAAGTGGATAGGGGGAATCGCCCACACACAGTCGCACCGCACAGATCTGTCATGCGACTGAAGAGTTGCGTGACAAGTAAAAAAAGGAGTTCCTGAGAGCAATTTCTTGCGAGTACTTTCTCCTTAAGAGAGGTCTTGTACGCATGCGTTCCGCTAAACCTTCCATACCTAGACCAGTATGTTATGTTGTACCCGATACTTGATAAATCAGTCAGACAAAAAAAATACAACCACAAAAAGCTATTAAGTCAGCACCAAAGAACAGGCCATGGTGGGATTGAAAATTCTCAAAAAGGTGAAATTTGAAAACTTTACTACTAGAATAACATTACAAAGGATCCTTCTAGTTTGCTCTCCGAGTTAACAACCTCAAGGGTTGGCATTGCCAAAACCTTTATATGCAACCACTTGCCAAGTCAGTCAAACATACTAAACACCATGTTTTGCTCAGAAAGACATAGAGGATCCATTTGTAATATTTTCCACGTAAAACTCTTCCTGATGAAGTAAAATATATTTCTTTACAATCCCTAAAATCCTACCTGTTGATCTTCATTCAAAATAGTGCATTATCATACGAGTGACCTTGTTCATTTAAGTTCACTGGTTCCAAATGGATTAAATACATTTATGTCATTTACTTTGTGCTCATTCAGAATAGAATCTCATAGTTTTCAAGTTTAAACACATACATCCAACTAATAAAACTATATAACATTTTAGAGCATAAAAAGCATGTGTTGAACTAGCTTTAAACCCAAAATATTCAAGCAGAGAAAGTTCCTTCAAAAGTTCTAGTTCAGCTGAAAAAATTGTACATGTGAAAAGTTAATACATGGTGACTTCAGCAGCTAAAATGTGGACTACAGAGACTGTCTACATAAATTTGGTCTATCCTGTATTAACAAAGTCTTCTCAATGTTGATTACCAGAATATTTATCTGAATCAAGACCCCTCTTCTTTCATTATGACATTAATGTCAAATGTTGTGTATGCAGATACTGTAGAGAAAGTTTACATCATTTAGTATTCTGTTATATGCACATGTACTACAACCATTTTGTCAATCAAAAGTGGTGCTCATAGGTACACAAAGGAGACTAACAATGTCAGGTTCAGCATCTTCACCAGACAAGAGGTCCATGGTGGTGCACTACTAAAAATGTACTCAGATGTACATTTGTAAATTTGGGTTTACTTCAACTGATCAGTAAAAGTTATTAACATCCCCATCTTCCTTCGATTAGCAAACATTTAAATTTACAAATTTACATATGTTCATGGCTACAAATACCAGTAGAGAATCTTAGATCAATTTGAGGGAAAATTAATTTAGACATTGAGTGACAAGAGAATTCAAGTACAATCATTTGCCTAGCTATTGTGCACTGTGAGGAAAAGATGAATGCTCACAATGGCAATTGAATTGAGAGAAAATAAAAGTTAGACACCAGAGACGAAATTATTGGCAAACTCTAACAAGGTGACAAGATCACAGTGGTAATACTACGAAAATGTAACCAAAGCACTTTAACTGTTTATGTACTTTGGTATTTTGAGGTGCCTTTGAAGTGATTACAAAAACTTTAACTTTCCTGGTGTTCCTAAAAAGCAACTTATGTTAATGCTAAAAACATGGCTAACTAAAATACCTACAGATACATCATGTCACATTGAGAAACAAACAAATTAAAATGGTTGAAGAGAAAACAACTCCCTTCAGAAAATGAATGCTACATTTATGGTTCTCAGTAAATTTCCAGGCTAGAAAAATACAGTTTGTACGAGTTATCACAGAAAGCAGTTCTTTTTGTATTACCAGGAGCTGTTGTATATGCATGGAAATTATCAGAATACTGAGAACCCTGCACTTCCCATTCATTTACAAGTTTAGCACCACAACTCAAAGCCACCACCCTCTCCCTGCTGTCCTCCTTTCTGGGAAGCTATCTCACTGTATTCTGTGGCTGAGTATGGGGGAGGCTGCTTGTAAGATGCAGGTGAGTTGCCAAAGGCAGGCTCCATATAGTTTGGTCCTTTTCGTTGTTCATCCTAGAGAAAGCAAAATACCTGTCTATTTTTCCTCTTTCTTGGAATTGATCAATTACTTCATTTAGGTCAAATAAATATAAACAAATTCTCAGAGTAGGAAAAGCAACAATTTTTGGAAAGGCAAATTAAGGAAATACTAGTAAATATGATTGTCACAATAAAATATAAACAAATTCTCAGGGTAGGAAAAGGAACAATTTTTGGAAAGGCAAATTACGCAAGTACTAGTAAATATGATTGTCACAATATGATAGGAATTAAGTGGGTAGCCACAATGTACTGCTGCTCCTAAGCAGGCTCATAGACAAAAATGGCAAAAATGTCAGGGTAGGTTCCATGACAGAGAAATGACTTTACATCAAATTCTGGTGAGTCATGACACATTATGTCATTACATGTGTATGAACAGCAGAAGCTAATGATATGAACAATGTATACTGCAAGTTCAACTCATGATCTTACTGGAACTCTTTACATAAGAAGAGTAAATTCATCTATCAACTTCAAGTTACTACCAAACAGCAACCACTCCCAATTTGTTTGACTGTTAAACTCCTTGATTCTCTATGTACGAACTACCACTAATCTTCACTGTATGTACTTATAACAAAGGGAGATGTGCAGTACATATCGATACCGAAAAGTCCCTCATGCTGTCAAGACTTTCCGGAATATGGAGGGGACATTATAATATTGACATAATAAAAAAAAACCTTGCATATTAAAAATAATTGGTGTTTACTTCTTGATAACACTGAGGAATGAAAACACATCATAGCAACACTCAGGAACATGACAAAGAAAAGTGATGCGACTGCAATGCTGAGATTTGCGCCCATTCCACAATTTGGTTATTTTCATAGTACAAGTTAAGAGAAGTTTCTAAGGTCACTTTGTTGATACTGGGGTACACAACCTATACTTGGGAATGTACTTTAGTATGGTAAACCCTGAAATACTAATACATATGTGACATATGGGAGTAAACTACATTGGTATGGGAAACACTCAAAGCAGTTATGTAATTTCATAAAATTGGTACCTGTCTCATTGCAGAAGAAACTGGGGCATACTGCCTGGCCTCAACATATGCTGGACTGGCTGTACCAAGTCCTGAAGGAGGCTGCTTGTTCCTAAAACCAGACAATTCACCCTTACATTATGTCATTGTGAGGAAACAAGCTCGTGATTAAAAAAGAAATAGGGGCAAAACACTTGAATGCTAGGTCACCAAATTTTTGTTATTGAAGTACACAAGAATTGAATACTAGATAGTCTCAGAGGTTAACATTGTGGTGCTTTCTGTCTTCAAAGCTTCTTCATTTTGTATAGTGTACCATGCCAGCTTTTCATTCACAAAAGAGTTTGGTTAGCTTGTGAGCATGGTGGCCTATGCAGTTGGATCTTAACTAAGTTTCTTTTTGCTTGTGAGAACTAATTGTATGGCTGCTGCCACCATACATGTAAGTCTACCCCTGGCCACCCCTCTCCTCTCCTTAAAAAACCTAAAAAAATGAAACAAAAACAAGAAATATTCTCAAGTCCCCCTGGCACTTTGCAAGACCCACTAATATTCCTGGTATGGCCAGTGTCTAAACTAAGAACACAAAGAAAAGAGCAGCCAGGGTTCTGGCCATTGCTGCCAAGTGACAAAACACAAGTGTATGCTGTACTTACATGCGGTAACCATCAGCTTCACTGTATTTGTTCCTACCACCTTGAATTCATAAAAGAAAAAAATTGTAAATTTAGTGGTTCAATCAAGTGACCTAAGTAACAGTAGAGGCAATATAGGATACAGGAAGAGGATGTACAGTGTTGGCGCATGTTGTGGTTTGATGTTTTTTTAAAAAATTCAACTGCCCTCTAGATTTTTGTCAGAAAACAAACATATTGTTTCGCTAACCTTTTGAAGCACCACCACTTTTCTTTTTCCTACAGCAAATGCAGGACACCACAATAATGATGATGACAACGAGAAAAAATGCAATGCATCCTCCTATGATACCCCACAATTCACTTTGTGTCAATTTTGAGGTGCGAGCTCCAGCTGAAGGCCCTTCCGGTTTCTCTGACGTTTTTGAAGAAGAGAAGGTAGGTGGCAGAGTAGCTGAAGAGAGAACATTTTATCTTATCAAAACTGAAACCATTTTGTTATACACTGCACATTGTACATGATGCAACACAAACCAGCATTAAAGATTTAAGAGAACTGTGGGTGGTCTCACCAGACTACCCCTTTGAAAGATCATATGAAAAATATAACAAAAACTAGGCTTCAACTGCTATTAGGAAACATGTACATGTATGTAGATGTCCAATATGGCTGATATCATAGCCTTACACATCTGATCATAATTCTACTGTATCTTTTAAATAGAAATAATCATTACTTAAAGTACCTGAACATGGCCCCTGGGCGATTACTAATGAATGTACTCATAGTAATGAGGCAATGATGATCAGTTATAGTTACAGTAATTGTAACAGTAACTGAATACTAGTTGTTTTGAAGTTAGTCATTGTTACCTATGATCTGTGAGAGTACAGACACAGCTAACTTTGATTGAGAAAACCATGTCCTCTACATACATGTAACTAACACTTCCCACAAAGTTTTTGCAATTCAGAGCTGTTCACAAGCAAGGGTAAAGGACAAAAAAGAAGAGTTCACTCTGACTTAAGAAGTAGAAGTACTTTAACCTCATTTTAACCAGAGCTAATGTTCAAACAATACAAGCTTCAGAGTAAGTTTGTAACTTTCTGTAATCATGGCAAAATAGAATCTACTTGTCAGGTGGACCAGGCCTTACTTGGATTCAAATCAAGTTCCCTTTTAACTCCGAATGCCCCAAGCTTTCCATCTTTGATTTCATCTTCCAGTGGTTTCAAAGGGTCAGTGACAGATTTACCAAACTTCATCTCTACTTTAGCAATGACACTACCAGATCTATCAGTAAAAAAGAGAAACTTGTTGATCAAAGCTGTTTGCACAATGACAAGTGGTTGATACTTTTTCATCTCCTCCATGACATCATTCCACCAAACTTCAATTCCTTAACTCTAACATTAAATAAATCTCAAGTAATTATTGTTTGTATACAAATCAATGCACTGTAAACAGTAAACTTCAACTAATTCCTGAACTAACCATGGAGTTTGTGATACAAACTAAATTCTGC